AGGTATGTTCCATGTATGCCTAGCTGTTTGAGAGTTTTTATCAAGGAGGGGTGCTGGATTTTATCAAAAGCTTTTTCTGCATCTAATGATATAATCATGTGGTTTTTGCTTTGACATCTGTTGATTTATTTAATTATATTTATGGTCTTGCAAATGTTGAACCAGCCTTAAGTCCCAGGGATGAAGCCTACTTGTTCATGATGGATGATTTTTGGATGTGTTGTTGAATCTAGTTTGCTAGGATCTTGTTGAGAATTTTAGCATCTATGTTCATCAAAGATAGTGGCCTGTAGTTCTCTTTCTTTGTTTGGTCTTTACCTGGGTTGGGTATCAATGTGATGTTAGCTTCATAAAATGATTTAGGGAGAGTTCCATCTTTCTCAATCACCTGGAATACTTTCAGTAGGATTGGTATCAGCTCCTCCTTGAATGCCTTATAGAATTCTACTGGAAAGCCATCTGGTCCAGAGTTTTTTTTTGTAGGTAGTTTTCTTACGACATAGTCAATTTCCTTGATTGTTATTGCTCTATTTAAGGTCACAATTTCTTCTTGTTTCAACCTAGGCAGGTTGTGTGATGTCAGAAAGTCCTCCATTTCCTTTAGGTTTTCAAGTTTGTTTCCATACAGGGTACATAGTAGTCTCTAATGATCTTTTATATTTCTTCAGGGTCAGATGTGACTTCATCTTTTGTGTTTCTGATTGTGTTTATTTGGGCTTTTTCTCTTTTTTTCTTGGTCAGTCTAGCTAGGGAACCATTGATCTTGTTTATCCTTTCAAAGAACCAGCTTTTTGTTTCATTGATTTTTTGTATTATCTTTTAGTCTTCTATGTCCCGGATATGGGCTTTTATTTTGGTGATCTGGATTCTTCTGCCGAAGTTAGGGTTTTGGTGGTCTTGCTTTTCCAACTTCCTTAGGTGACTTGTTCGGCTGTTAATTTGTGATTCTTCCATTTTCTTCAAGTGCATTTGTAGAGATATGAATTCCCCTCTTATTACAGCTTTCATGGCATCTCAGAGATTTTGGTAAGATGTTTCTTCATTTTCATTAGTTTCAGATATCTTTTAATCTCTCTTTTATTTTCTCATTGACCCAGGAGTTGTTTAGCATCATGCTATTTAGTGTCCATGTCTTTGTGGGTTTGGGAGGAACCTTGTTGGTGTTGATGTTTATTTTTATTTCACTGTGGTCCAAGAAGGTGCATGGCAAAATTTTGATCTTTTGAAATTTATTTATGCTTGATTTATGGCCAAGTATGTTGTTGATCTTAGAGTACATTCTGTGCAGTGATGAGTAGAATGTATATTCTGTGGTTGTTGGGTGGAGTGTTCTGTAGGTATCAATTAAGTCGATTGGTCAAGAGTCACATTGAGGTTCTGGATCTCATTGCTGATTTTGTCCTGATGATCTGTCTAGGGTTGTGAGTGGGGTATTAAAGTCCTCAGCTATGATAGTGTTAGAGTCAATATCTTTTTTGAGTTTACCTAGAAGCCGCTTTATGAAAGTTGGCGCTCCTATGTTGGGTGCATATATGTTTAGGATAGACATTTCTTGTTGATGAATTAAACCTTTTATCACTATGTAGTGACCTTCTGTATCTTTTTTAATTTTTGATAGCTTAAAGGATGTTTTGTCTGAGATTAAGATCATGACTCCTCCTTTTTTCTGTATTCTGTTCGCCTGAAAATGTTTCCTATCCTCTTACTTTGAGTCTGTGAGTGTCCTTTCTAGTGAGATGAGTCTCTTGAAGGCAATATATTGTTGCCTGGTGATATGTAATCCATTTTGCCATTCTCTGTCTTTTCAGTGGTGCATTTAGTCCATTCACTCAGGCTAATTATTGAAATGTGAGAGTTGATCCCTATCATGTGGTTCTTATAGAGTTGTTGTTTTTGTTCCTGTTTGTTTGTTTTCTTTGTTTTGGTTTTGGGGTTGGTTTGTGTGTGTTTTAAATCTTTTTCCTGCACTCTTGAGAAGAATCTGGTTGTTCTTTTTTCCTTTTCTTCTATGTGTAATACTTTCTTAAGTGCTTCTTGTAGAGGTGGTCTGGTAGCAGCGTAAGTTCTTAGGAATTGGTTGTCTGGGAAAGATTTTAATTCTCCCTTACTGATGAGGCTTAGCTTGGCTGGATAGGTTATTCTTTGTTGAAATTGTTTATCTTTTAGAACTTTGAAGATAGGGCTCTCTATCTTTAGATATCTTTATCTTTTAGAACTTTGAAGATAGGGCTCTCTATCTAGGAAGCTCTCCTAGCCTGAAGGGTTTCTGTAGATAAATCTGTTGCTGCTATTCTAGTTGGTCTTCCATGGTAGATAATCTGACCTTTTTCTCTTGCTGCATTTTGGATTTCTTCTTTTATACCTACTTTGTTTAGGTGAATTATTGTGTCTGAGAGTTAGTCTTCTCATTTCTTGTCTTGCAGGGGTTTTCTGAATCTCTTGTGTTTGAATTTTTGCATCACTGATGTCTCGTAGAATGTTTGTTCCAGGGTGGCCTCTGTCTCTCTGCCTCAGGAAGTTCAATCACTCTTAGGTTCAGTCTCTTGAAGTAATCACTCATCTCTTGAAGGTTTTGTTCTGTCTTTTTAAGTTTCTTTTCTATGTTTTTGACAGTTTGGGTTAGTTCTATATTTTAGTCCTCATGTTCTGAGATTCTTTCTTCTGCTTGGCTAATTCTGTTTTCTGTGCTTATCAGTTTGTTATTTATTTCATTCACAGTATTCTTTACTACTGTTATCTCAGTTATCAGCTCCTTTCTAGTTTCCTCTTGTCTCTCCTCAATTCTTTTTAATCTCTCCATTAATGTCTTGATATCTGGGTTTGTAGTTTAAAACCAGTCATTCTGGGGGCTCTTCACTGTTTGCATTCTGAAGTCAGTTTTCTCAGTTTCTGACCTCCCGGTGGTCTGTGAGAGACCCATATTATTCTTTTGGTTTTTCTTCATTTGTGTAGATTTTTCTCTCCCCCTTTCCCTCCCTTCTTTAATTCTGTTTTTCGGGGAATGTGGGGTTGCTTTGACTTCTTTTTATTCAATCTCCTGTTCTTCCTTATGAGCATCCTATGGCTTTGTTCACTTTTGAAGCTGGACTGTGGGTTGGGGCTGTACTTTTTGTAGTTTTGAGATTTATTTTTGTTTATTTATTTATTTATTTTTTAGTTGGAGTCTCACTGTGTTACCCAGACTGGAGTGCAGTGGCCGCTCCTGGCCACCGCCGCCTGGACCTGCTGGGCTCTGGCGATCCTTCCGCCTCAGTCTTCCAGGTAGCCGGAATTACAGGTATGCACTACCATGCCCGGCTGATTTTTTGATTTGTTGTAGAGATGAGGTCTCACTGCCCAGGTGGGTCTCGAACCTGCGGGCTCAGAGAATCCACTCACCTCAACCTGCCAAAGGTGCGGGATGACAGGCTGAGCCACTGAGCCCAGCTAGTTTTGTGATTTAATTGAGGGAGAAGCTGTGATTCAGAATCTATCTGCAAATCCCAGTATCCACCAACAGGTGTATGGGCACACTGGAACCCACTTCCCACTGTCTTACAATCTATCTGTGCAGTGGGGTTTAACTTTGTTCCCTAGGACCACTTTTTTCCCCCAAGTCTCTAAGTTGGGCAGGCATGGTGGTCATGCCTGTAACCCCAGCACTTTTGGAAGTTGAGATGAGTGGATTGCTTGAGTCTAGGAGTTCAAGAACAGCCTAGAAAACATAGTGAGACCTGTCTCTACAAAAATAAAAAATTAGCTGTAGTGGGCATGCACTTGTAGTCCCAGCTACTTGGGAGACTGAGATGGAAGGATCACTTGAGCCCAGTTGGTTGAGGCTGTGGTTAGCCGTGATTCTGCTGTTGCAGCCCAGCCTGGGTGACACTAGAGTGAGACCCCGACTCAAAAAAAAAGAATAGTCTCTGTCCGATTTATTCCTGTCTGGTCATTTTTATTTTCTTCTTCTGGTAACTTTGGGCTTCTTTAGGACTCTAATTTAAAAATGCAAATGCAGTGGGAACAGAGGGTCACTTCCAGAAGATGTATATGTTTTAGTATTGTTTTCTGCATGGTCTTAAGTAGTTACAGTTTGCCTCACTTCCAACAAAATATATGATCTCATCAAAAGACTGTCATTTGGTATCAGTATGAGTTTATAAACTTTTCATCAAGGACTAAATCATTACAAGTGTTTTATAATCTGTGTGTTTCCATTAGCAGAAAGACCTGGTTAACTTCAGAGAAATATTTTAACCATTCAAAATTAATGAAAGCCTAAGTAAGCAAAAAGCCCCTGAAATCTGAAGAATCACTATGTGAATGTGACCAGCTTGGTTTCTGGATGACTGAGGAGAGTGTCCCACCTCTCAGTATCTCTAAGCCTGAGGCTAGTCCTGGTGCTGATGACAAAAACTCTCCTTTCTCATTCAGATTGTCTTTTTCTTTCTTCTGTTTCCCTGCCTCTCCCGTTTCCTGTTTCTCCTACTTATTAATGGTTCTTTCCCTCCGTGAGACAAGATTATTATTATTTTTTGTTGCAGTTTCTTGGAGCTATCCTAGATATTTTGGCATGCAAGAAAGCGGTCTTTAGTAACTGGCACACTGCTGTACTTTGAAACGTGTATAAGACTGGGTAGTAAGGACAGATGCTGCACAGAGGCAGACTGACGGCTTGCGGTGGCCCCTTCTGCCTGTTTGCTTTCTCCAGGCTGTGCTCACACTATTTAGTTCTGTTCAGGGCATTTATGTCAGCAGAACCTTTTCAATGAGCACAGCCACAACTCATCAATTTAAATGTCTCCAATGGGGCTTTCTCTACTTGTCCACCAGTGCAAAAGTCGGAGGCTCATGTTTCCAGTGTATAATCTGTGCCAGGAGGTAGGATCGTACAGTCAGTATTTATGTAGACCTCAGAAACAATCCTCATGAATACTTAGAGAAATACATGTTTTAAATTTAATAAGCTAAATTTTTAAATTAGTATTGTCTTTGTCTACTCATGTATTTACTTTGTGTTACAGGCCCAGAATCAGCTACATCCTCATCACAACAGCCGAACTCAAATAAACCCTGATGTGATATATATTTATGATAACTTTGTAAATGACTAAATATGACTACTTCACAGATATATTTATAAGGCTCCTGTTATATTTTACTGATACATATTCGTATGGAACACTGTCTTGCAGCAGATTTGACATTATGGTATAGACAGAGCAAGTGTTGGTTTTTTTCTTGCATTTCTCTGGGATGGTAAACAGGTGGTCAATAAATACAATTGAGGCCTCTGATACCCTTTGCATTGCTGACCTGGTGATGTCCCAGTTTTCGTAGAACCAGTCACTTCTCCTTGGCTTTTGCTAACATCACCTCCTCTTGTGTGAACTATTGTTAGTTGGCTTTCTATTGGATTATTAAATAGAAGAAACTCATACAATAAGTTTTAAGCCTTTTCCATTATTTGATCCTCTAATCTGTGTAGAAATAATTTTCCAGTGACAAAAAAAAAATAATTCTAGGATATGGTGATACAATTTATATTAAGAAAAATATTTTGCGTTCCGCGCTACCCGCAGAGGGGTCCATACGGCGTTGTTCTCAATTCCCGTCGTAACTTAAAGGGAAACTTTCACAATGTCCGGAGCCCTTGATGTCCTGCAAATGAAGGAGGAGGATGTCCTCAAATTCCTTGCAGCAGGCACCCACTTAGGTGGCACCAACCTTGACTTCCAAATGGAACAGTACATCTATAAAAGGAAGAGTGATGGCATCTACATTATAAATCTGAAGAGGACCTGGGAGAAGCTTCTGCTTGCAGCTCGTGCCATTGTTGCCATTGAAAACCCTGCTGATGTCAGTGTCATATCTTCCAGGAATACTGGCCAGCGGGCTGTGCTGAAGTTTGCTGCCGCCACTGGAGCCACTCCTATCGCTGGTCGCTTCACTCCTGGAACCTTCACCAACCAGATCCAGGCAGCCTTCCGGGAGCCCCGTCTGCTGGTAGTTACTGATCCCAGGGCTGACCACCAGCCTCTCACAGAGGCATCTTATGTTAACCTGCCCACCATTGCTCTGTGTAACACAGACTCTCCTCTGCGCTATGTGGACATTGCCATCCCGTGCAACAATAAGGGAGCTCACTCAGTGGGTCTGATGTGGTGGATGCTGGCTCGAGAAGTTCTGCGCATGCGTGGCACCATCTCCCGTGAACACCCGTGGGAGGTTATGCCTGATCTCTACTTCTACAGAGATCCTGAAGAGATTGAAAAGGAAGAGCAGGCTGCTGCTGAAAAAGCTGTGACCAAAGAAGAATTTCAGGGTGAATGGACTGCTCCAGCTCCTGAGTTCACTGCTACTCAGCCTGAGGTTGCAGACTGGTCTGAAGGTGTGCAGGTGCCCTCTGTGCCAATTCAGCAGTTTCCTACTGAAGACTGGAGTGCTCAGCCTGCCACAGAAGACTGGTCTGCAGCTCCCACTGCTCAGGCCACTGAATGGGTAGGGACAACCACTGAATGGTCTTAACCTCTTAAGCAACACAGGCTCTTAAGCAACGCGGAAATAAGGTTGGCGGAAAATAAACTTGTTTCTAAGGAAAAAAAGAAAAATATTTTAATTTATTATGCCTTGAAGTTATAAACATTTAATATAAAACATTGTAACATTTGTTTATTTTTAATTTTTGGTAATACTTTTTGCATAAACAGGTTCAAAATAATAAGCATTTATTATTTTATATCCTTTAAGTGAAAATGTGCTGAATTTTAATATTTAATTTATAGACAACAAAAGTTTTTAATAGACTAAATTCTCTCATTTTATAATTTTTGTTATTTTTATATAAGTAATTAGTATAAAAATGTAGTTTTATATTCTGTGCACTTGATTTATAAAGCAATAATTTTATGCAAGAAGATTTTTAGAAAACTAATTAAGGTCACATATATTTTAGCTTCTTTCCCAGAATAAATAATGTACTTTCTTCAGGTTAGTTTTCTAAATAAGGTACTAAATTGAGCATATAAGTCTATATTGTCTGATCAAGCTGATATACAATGGGAGATATAGGCAATGTGTAAAAAATGTGAATGGCTGTATGTATTGAATAAAAAGAATATACCATTATAGCAAGAAGGTTTCCCCCCCTCCTTTCCTTCCTTTTTTAGCCTTTTCCTTCCTTTATCTAAATTCTTACCTCATTCCCAAACACCCCCATCTTAGTGAAAAAAATCATCAGGAACAGATACTTGTAATGTAGAACTCTTAAATTATTTATGTAGGTTATTATAGTAATGGAAACCTGTGGTTTAGGGTAAGAAGAGACAAAATTTGGAATAAAGACCAATGATCAAATCTGGGCCAGTGTAACCTAAATATCAAACAGAGAGTGGCTCAAGAAAATATTTGTTTGGGTGTAAGGCATTGCAGTCGAAATAGTATATAGGTCACAGTAAACTATGTGCATGCTTTGTAAAAAGCAGAGCAGATGAATTAGTGAAAAGAAGGAAAGATAAGAGAGAGCAGCTCTAAGGAGAAGGATGCAGAGCAACCCCACCAACAAAACTCTAATATAAAAAGGAAAGTGGAACGGTCAGGAGTAATGAGTCTGCCATACCCCTATGATGGATTTAACTGAGTTCAGTGAGGCATCTTCAAAAACTGTCTGAATTGTATAAAAAGCAGCAGAAAGCCCAGAGGGTTTCACAGGTTAATTATGCCAAATATTTAAGACAGACATTATATCAATTTTCTGGAATCTCTTTCAGAAGATGAAAAGAGAGGAAATAATTCTGACTCTCTTCATGTAGCTTAATACCAAAACTAGACAAAGGTATTACAAGAAAAGAAAATGACAGACCAAAAAATTTAAAGAACAAGTACATATACAAAAAAAAACCTACAGCTGACATCATATTAAATGGTGAGAAGCTAGAAACTTTCCTGCTAAGATCAGGAACCAAGCAAGGATATCCCCTCTTACTATTCCTTTTTAGTGTTTGTACTGGAAGTCATAGTTAATGCAATAAGATAAGGAAGTAAGAGCATAAGGATTGGATAGGGCTATGGCCTGTATGTTTGTGCACCCCCCAGACCCATACGTTGAAACCTAATTACCAATAGAAGGGTATCAGAAAGTGGGGCTTCTGAGAGATAATTAGATCATAAGGGTGGAGCCCTCGTAGATGAGTGCCCTTATAAAAGAGGACTGATCCACACAACTACCTTGCTCTTCCATCCTGTGAGGACATAGGGAGAAGACTTCATCAACGAACAAGAAAGTGAGACCTTGCCAGACACACCTGCCTGTTCCTTGATCTTGGACTTCCCAGCCTCCAGAAGGATGAGAGTTAAATTTGGGTTGTTTGTAAGCTACCCAGTTTGTGGTTATTTTCCTATAGCAATCTAAATAAATTAAGTCAGGAAGGAAGAAATAAAATTGTCTTTATTCACAAATGACATAATCACCTGTGAGAGTACCCCCCCCAAAACCCACAAGTATTTTTTGGAGGGTGGGCGTCCTGGTAGTACACTCAGAATTTGTTTCCCCAGATCAAATCATCAACCAAAGTTTTTATCTGGAAGTTTTGAGAAGGTTGCATCACGATTTTTGGAAGAAACATCTCAAGCTGTGGCAAACAGATGACTGGCTCTTCTACCATGACAATACACCTGCCCACATTGAGCTGAGCGATCAGCAATTTTTGACCAAAAACCATTTGACGCTTGTGCCCAACTCTCCCTATTCACCCGATCTCACCCCAAGTAATATTTTTTGTTTGTTCCTCCAGATGAAAAAAGTCCTCAAAGGGAAATGTTTTGCCAATGTGGAAGGAATAGAAATATAGAACATCTGAAAAAAAGAACTGACACAAAAATCTTAGAACTAGTAAGCAGTTATGGCAAGGTTGCAGGACACAAGGTTAATATACAAAATTCAATCATTTTTCTATATAGCAAAGATGAACAGGTAGAATTTGAAATTAAACCATAATATCATTTACATTATCACCCTCAAAATGAAATACTTGCATATAAATCTAATAGAATATGTATAGGACCTATATTTAAAAAAACACAAAATTCTGATTAAAGAAATAAAAAAAGAATTAAATAAATGGAAAGATTTATCCATGTAGGTGGATAAGAAGATAATTGTCAAGATATCAGTTATTCTCAGCTTGATCTATAAATTCAGCATAATCCTAGTCAAAATAAGCAAATTATTTTATGAATATTGACAAACTAAGGAGTGGTAAAAGATCTAGAAAATCCAACCTTCTATTGAAGGTTAAGACCAAAGTCACACGACTGACATTACTTGATTTCATAACTTACTCTAAAGTTACAGTAATTAGGACAGTATGTTCTTAGTAAAAGAAGAGACAAGCAGATCAATGTAGTAGAATAGATACCCCAGAAATGGACTTCTATGAATACAGTCAACTGACCTTTGACAGAGGAAAAAAGTAACACTATGGAAAAAAGGTAGCCTTTTCAACAAATGGTGCTAGAGCTATGGACACCCACGTGCAAAAATAAATCATAATCTTGACATAGATCATTCACAAAAATTTACTCAAAAATAATCATAAACCTAAATATAAAATACAAAATTATACAACTCCTAGAAGATAACACAGGAGAAAATCTAGATGACCTTGAGTTTAGTGATGACATTTTATTTATTTATTTATTTATTTGAGTTGGAGTCTCACACTGTCACCCAGACTGGAGTGCAGTGGCCGCTCCCGGCCACCGCAGCCTCGACCTGCTGGGCTCCGGCGATCCTTCCACCTCAGCCTTCCAAGTAACTGGAACTACAGGCGCGTGCTACCACGCCCGGCTAAGTTTTTAATTTATTGTAGAGATGAGGTCTCGCCTGCCCAGGAGGGTCTTGAACCCGTGGGCTCAGGCAATCCACTCACCTCAGCCTTCCAAAGGTGCGGGATTACAGGCTGAGCCACCAAGCCCAGCTGATGATGTTTTAAATACACAACTAAAGGAATGATCCATGAAAGAAAGAAAAAGAAGCTGGCTTTCATCCCTGGGGGCCGGGGAAGCACAGCTCATCAACAAGGATACCTGCATAATGAACCTTTGTATACCTAACCCTGAATTGTATCCTACATATTTATTAAAGTAAATAATTTTAAAAATTAAAAATTAAATGCATAAAATTAAAAACTTCAGGTCTGTGCAAAATACCATCAAGAGAATGAAAAGGCAAGCCACAAACTGGGAAAAAGCACTTACAAAAGAAATATTTGATAAAGAACTGTCATCTAAAATATTT